CCATACCCAAGGACATATAGATTAATTTACCCTAATCTTGCCTAAAAGAATTTCAATTTGAGCGAAGTCTGGTATAGATCTTGACGAGTAATAAAATGGAATCGGATGTCCGCGCGCCCCATGCCCCCAAAATAGAGCTAATAAAAAGGAAAATAAAAAGCCTCATAGATTAATTTACCCTAATCCTGTCTAAAATAATTTAAAGTCTCGCGGCTATTGAGGATTCCCACTTGTTTACATTTATATCATATGGTACAGGCACAAGAGTACTCACGTATGATCATAGCAAGTCTTAATTAAACTATTAATTATTTTACCTCAGTTGGCCCATATAGATGATAAAAATATCAGAAAAAATATTTGTTTAAAAGTATGATTAGTAATGTTATTTCTAAATTCTTCAAAGTATAGCAGGAGGGGAAGAAATAAACAGACACCCTTAATAAGTTGCCCCTCCCCCAGTGGCACAGCGGTATGTCTGCGGACTTACAACGCTAGAAACCGGGTTTCGATACCCGTGGTGGGCAGAGCACAGATAGCCCTTTGTGAAGCTTTGTGCTTAACTACAAACAAACAAACCTTAATAAGTAAATTGCTTTGCCCTTGTGCAAGTACGTTATTAGAGGGGGGAAAGGTTACTATTGCACAACGTTCTTTCAGGAGTGTTATATAATATTTATTTGCAAGCTTCAGCGCCCGTTGTGCAATAATTGTTGTAAAAGTTAAGTATGAAGCAAAGAAATAAGGTTCACCAAAGTGCTCTCCAGAATGAGGAAGGTCAACAGAGGCTTATTAAAACTTTTTTTATCAATGGTAGGTGAAGCCGTGAAAGAGACTGCAACTGATAATTACTTTAGAACTCTATAGAACTTCGAATCATTGTATCACCTGCACATAATCAAGTGCGAAAGGAAACTTGAAAAAGAAAAATGACTATTGAGAATTTCAGAATTACGTTGATTACATCTTCACGTGCATATTTGATATGCTACATAAACAGGATTTTTAATCTATTGCTGCTTTAATTTTTTTTCTACACTGTTTATGTTGATGGACAATTGTTGATCCTCAGATTCGTCTACCAGTATTGGGGGATGATACTTCTCGATCACGTGACAAATTATTTCTTGTCATTGCGTACAAGAAGGTGGCTGTTAGAGGATAACAGCGATCATGGGATGACAGAAAATTTGTATTGACCAACTGCACTGCTGAAATCTCATGGCGGGGCTGTTGGAAATAAAAAAGGGTGATGTGATAATCCTTCGAAATAGTCTACAAACTGTATTTTCTCAGTAGGTTAATTTGATAAAGTTGCTTCAAATTCGTAGACATTAAAATTATATGGCATTAATTCTTGTTTCTTATAAAAGTAGACTCTTTGGCTACCGATTTAGTATATAATATTTATATTTTTCCCATTTAATTTCTTTGAAACATGTATTTTGACAAAGCTGGAGGACACACTTTAGCTAATTAAGAATTAGTCAGTTTAATGCCTCACACCTCAGGTCTCACTTCATTGTTGGAAAGAACAAACAACTGTTTGGTAAAACACTTCAGTTATACCAATCAACGTAAGTAGACCAGAATTATTTTATTACCAATTCAGAAGCTATCACATTAAGTAATTTAGAAAATATGACAATGTTTGGGTTTCATGCTTCTAAAATAATATTTAATAATGATATTTTCACAGCGCAAAACCACACAGGGGATATCTGCATTCTGTTTACTGTGGAGAATCGAACCCTGAATTTTAGTTTTGTAAACCCGTAAACTTACCACAATGATATCGGGGGACACTGGAAGTAACCTTTCTGGTCACAGTTAAGGTTTATGTTGTGCTTTTTATAGAAGACAGACAAATGTAACTGACAAAGACATAAAATTACTCAATAGGATGCAATATGAGATCTCCGGCGATAATGAACCGTGTAAAAACAAACCCGTAATTAGTGGGGTAAATTGTATAATTACTTATGAGGTTCGTTTGTTTGTTTGTAATTAAGCACAAAGCTACACAATGGGCTATCTGTGCTCTGCCCACCATGGGTATCGAAACCTGGATTCTAGTGTTGTAAGTCCGCAGACATACCACTGTGCCACTGGGGGGCACTTATGAGGTAAAAACTATGCGTATATTCAATAGCAGCGAATAAATTCACTGTAATAGCATATTAATTCTAAATGAATGTTCCAACTAATTACTTGAATGCATTGCTAATTTTTTGTATCGTTATAGGCAAATGAATATTTATTTATATATTTTCCATAACTTGTATCAGTTTTTCTTACAAGAACTATTTAATGCGGTTAAATTCTCAATTATATTTCACTTAAACAGATTCAGATAAGCCTAAAAACGTAGACTTGATTGTGTTATTTAATTCCTTATTAGCAACTATTGTTGATACTCATTCCAATATGTATTTCAAGAAATTTAATTTAATATTTCATATAACATTATGAGCATTGGTATTAAAACACCAGTTTCAATTATTTGATGAGATAGCATTTCCATACATACATATATATATCTTTATATTTCAAGGGAGTCGTTTGTACTTTACATGAAGGTGACGACTTTGGAAAACTGGCCTTAGTAAATGATGCTCCAAGGTACTGTGATTTTCTATCATTATAATTCTGTTTATTCTCAAAACAAAATCTGGTTCTATTCACACAGGAATAATATTTCTGACTTGTGACTGGGCAATGGCTAAAGCAGTAGCTAATGGTGGAAATAGCAGTTATTAGTCATAAAGGGTATACTTCAGGACTTGGTGAATGAGCTGTTAATAATTTTTTCTGATGTTTGTGGTAAGAACTTAGAAAGTAGGTAGGTTGTTGGCTCAACCAGTTAAACTGTTAGTAGTTTGGTAACAGTACTTCTGATGCATGTGGTTAGAATATGGTAAAGGTTGAAACAGGCACGCTTATAAACCTCAAATAAGAACTCTGGTGTGTTAGATTTTCATAAGAATGCTTGTTGAAGTATAAATTAATGTTATTATTAACCCAAAGATAATCGGTTTGGTTTATATAGTTGAGGATTGAGAATGCTCGGAAATAATCAACTCGTTAATCTTTGATGTGACACACAGTGTAAGGACTTTGTTAGTAGGTTGGATGATAACTTATTGATTACAAGCTGATATACTGGTCCTTTGTCCGGGTTATGAACTTGTGTGAGCGAATGCTATGATAAATAACACAAAAACATAACTTTCATATTATTTAGTTATAACATAACCTATTATTACAGTACTCATTATTATTTTATTAAAAGTTTTGTATAAGCTTTAATAACTCAATATGTATATAGTTAAAACATGGTATACACTGTGCGATTGGTCAGGGTGACTTCGTATGAAGAGGCAGCAGTAAATGTAGTGGCGGTTTGGGTGCTTTCTGTTACCTGCTTTTAACACCCAGCTCTTAATGCCCTTCCACAATGTTTCACCTGTAAATTAATTGGCAGTCATTGACCCCAGAAGTGTTTTACGGGCCGAAGTTGAAAGGTAACGGGTCAAAGTAGAAAGTAGGTATAACTCAAGATACGGCTCATCATGTCAACTTTATGGTGGCTATTAGAGTAGAAACTTCAGCTGAGTTTATGTATTATTGCAATAGCACCAGCCATTTTTTCATTGCATTCTTCCGTAGAGAGTGCTAGCGCACTTTCTGAGAGGTATAAGGTGTTTGTGTGCCCTCCTCCCACACAGTGTACATAGAAAATTGAAATATTTTTTTTTTTGCGTGTATAAGAGCCTGGCGCCATCTATGAATGTAGTTAACATTAACTTACATCAAAGATAATAAATACTCAATAACAGCAATAATAGAGGTTGAGAGGTTATGAATCTCCATTAACATGCATCTTATTCCAAATTATTATTCCATACAGTTTGCTTGAGATTGGCCCAGCAACCTAGGAGTAGTTAGATAATGGACAGACAGACAAACATTCAGACACAGATTTTTTGTGCTTTATATATACATTAACTCAGAGGTAATATATAGCTGTATGACTATTATAGTTACGTTAAGAATTATGGTTATGATGGCAGTAAGCAAACCACAGTTAGTAGATTATAACTTTATTGTTACTGGTATCCTTATAAAAAAGGTAATTATTTTTAAGGAGATGGTAGATGTTCAAAGTAATCAACATATAAATATAATCAACTTATGATATATATTGTTAGGACTCGGATAGTTTATTGGGCAATAAAGGTGAAAATTAAACAAAAAAGTTCAGTTATAAAACATTCTACAGATATTCTTAGGACACTGTGACACATTGTTGGACAATTGAAATAACAACCAAATGAATTATCTGTATGTTAGCCTTCTGAATTGGCCATAAAAGTATTATGTCAGTTGACAAAGTGACAACTCTTGGTTTCTGAAAGAAGCATGTATCAGTGCAAAAATTATGATTATCTAAATTTGATTATTAATAATATTGTATACTGTTTCATATGATATGATTTAATACTTGTTGTTGTTGTTTTTTCAAAAACAAAACAACAACTTCCGATTACAACTATTACAACATAGCGCAGTAATGCATATAACAAGTCTGATCTATATGTATATTTGCACTGCTCGTTGTTACTCTGCATGAAATATTGTACTGGGAATGGGATGAACAAAATAATATAAAGAAGTGAAAGATCATCTTCAGAAACAGAATATTATGATTAGAACCAATAATAGCTGAACATATGGTTTTATGAAAACTTCAGCTTTTCTCGGACAACTGTGAAAGAGTCCTATACCAAGACATTTTACTTTTTATCAAAGATTCCTCAATTGGAAAAAAAATCCATTCTGTGCCTTGACTTTAATCAAGATGTTGGGTGACCTGAGATGGTGAGATGCATATGTTTACCTCTTACTTCCTCCATGGTGTTGGGTGTATGCTTCCCTATAAGTAATACCACTAATGCAGCCAATGGTTGAAAATAAAAGCTACGCTATTAAAGCTCACAGACATGACTAATTAATAATTTGGTTCTTTTCAACGTATCCATGGATAAATATACTTAAATATACATAAATATACTTATAAACTCATAGTTATCACAGTTCTATCTCAAACTTTAAATTTGTAAGGAATTTGTATACATAGTTTGACTTGTTTTGAATATATTATTTTAAAACAAGTGGATTGTGTGCTGTCCGTTTATCGTTCGAATTTATCGCCAACAAGTCACAGACACTTACTGTAGAAGAATCCTCATCCCACTCACATTTAAAACCCTGACAACGTTCATCACAAATAGTTTGACTCTAATGTATATAAATATTTGAGCTTTTGTTGACTAATATTAGGTAACCTTTAAAGAAAATTTGAGCAGATGTTTAGTGGGAACGAGGACTGGTGCTTGGCCCTATTTCCATCATGTATGATATAGTTATCTATTAATAGATCAGTTAAGAGAGCGTTTTTATTTGGCTTTTTTTTTAAATATCATAGTGAGAATTACAAAAGTTTCGGAAACATTAGAAGCTTCACATAATTATTTGAATATTTTTCTGAGTACTCTGTATGCTGCAAAAGTAAAGAATTTTGAATCGATTGTAATTTTGAGAGGATAGAGTTTGCAACGTTTATCTAGGCTGAGCTGGCGTATTCAATGTGGATAGAATATACATTGGCTTTTAAATTGTTTCAACAGAAGTCACGTGTGATATAGGGTATTGAATGAAGTTTTGTACTGTCAGTTATGGTTTGTGTTATAGTGGAACACTCCTGAATAAGTTGTAAAGCGAAACGTTGAGTGTCTAATAAAATAAAAACAACAGTTTGGTATAAGGTCGTTTATTTCTAGTATTCTGGTGTTAGAAAGTAAAGGGGACACCCTTTATATATATATTAATGCTAGGCTTATGTATAAGTTTTTTAAATGTTGCTAATTTTTCTTTTGTATATGCCTTGTTTCTTACTTAATATTTTTATGTTTCGTAATTTACAAGCTTTTACTTTTACCAACTGAGGACGCTTCGCTAATGAAGTAAACGTCTTTATACAAGACTATTTTTCAGTTGCCCTAGAGAACCTGAAGTTTTTTCAGGGGGTTGAGTCATACTTGGACTCTCTCATCAAATATATTGACCATATAGTTTGTTTGCAAAGTTTAACGAATGCTTTGGTGTATGGATCATAGATATTTCTGGAAGTTGCTTGTAGGTTGTCTGTTGTGATCCAATGCACAAAAAAGTGACTTTATGAAATTTATAAATATTGAAAACTTCATTAGGATGATAAATAGAAACACAATAGTGTTATGAGAGTTAAAGTGCTGAGATCTTAATTCTTTAGAAAATAGAATATCTGATTGTATTCTATAATGATTATTTCATATATAGTAGTCACAAACTCTAGATAAATGACCTAAGAATGTCATTATACATGTGTATAACATTGCTAATGTTAAAACTTCTGTCATTTGTATAGATTTAAAACTATTCAACAATATTTGATAGTTTGTTTTTTAAGGAATCAGCATGTCAGAACCCTTATGATATTTGACATTTTCTATAATTTAGAGCAGCAACTATAGTGACGAGAGAAGACAACTGTCATTTTCTCCGAGTAGACAAGAATGACTTCAACAGGATTCTTAGGGTAACTGGATATTTTCCTTATAGCCACTAACAACATTTTACATATTGCTTGAGTGGATGATAATTTCAAAGCTGGAGAAACATAATCTGTTCTGGGATCAAGCTAAAAATTAAATGCTAATATTTTCTTGTGTTTAGCTTTAATGTGCTTCTTTATCAAATGTGATACCTTAAACATGGTATAAACTATTATAAATAACATTGTAGAATTGATTAATATGAATAAGACTCCAAGTAAGAGTTTCAGTGTTGTGTTTAGCTTAGACGTTGAGGTCAACTCTCGTTTGAGTGACACATATCAGGTTAGTTTCTTTTGTAGTCAATTTGACGAAAACATCCTAATAGTTTCGGTTATTTATTATATTCGTACGTGGCTAAATATGTATCGTGTAACGATATGTTATGCAAAGACGTTGGTGATACCTCTTGAAAAACTACATGGAAAGATATGAGTTTTATTATACGAAATAGTGACATACAATCTGAAGGAGCGTCATGCAATAGTACAATAATTAACATTCAGATCTGTAGTGTGTACGCAATGTAATAATAACACATCGTTGGAAATGCTAAATTTATGTATATTTTCTTTCTACTTTCTCGTTGTGTCAGTTATTATTGTATGTTACATCACGCAGTTTGCTCATTAACTACTAGCGTGGCATACAGTTTCTGATTATATTCTATTTCTGTTTCTTTTTGGTAGTTAACAACGAAGGTCTGTATTCTGAGGTTAAGTCGAATATTTTAGGACTATGTGTAGAAGAAGGTAATGAAAACTGAGATTAATATAAAAAAAAGATGAAATAGAAATGTTTCCGCTGTTTTTTTTATGATCACTGTTATCTGATAGCGCACTCCGTCTTTAGTGTTATGTAATTTGTACTATTTTATTTACTTTTCACTATAGAATCTAGCTGTTTTATGAAATACAATAACAGATAGAAGCTACATTTAAGTATTCATGTTTAAGACATTTACTTAAACAAGGAACATAAAGTATAAGATAAAATTTAGTTATAATGTTATTTTGATGGTGAAAACAATAGTATCAAATATGTTTTGCTAAGTCCACGTAACTATTTAATGTGGATTAGTTAGAAAAAACTATACATCTTATTAATTTAGTCTTTATCGAATTCAATTTTAAGACAAAGAAGATTCGAATAATACGTTTCCAATTTTGAATAACAATAAATTTTAATTTTACTCATTTTATTCCAGGACGCTGAAGCAAACACAGTGAGATTAAAAGAACACGGACAAGATGTGTTGCAGCTTCAGAAAATTCTCACTGATTTAAAAGGTGCCGAGGGGGGCTCCTCTCACTATAAGTAAGCATAAAGATATGAAATATAAACGTTAGTTTAAATCAGACAAGGTAAGCAGAATGTTCTCAGTAATACAGTGACGCAAATATTTACTAATATAAAATTGAACAGAAATGTACTGTAATTGAATTAAACAAAATGATGTAAAATACTTTGAATATTGAAACAGTATATTAAAATTACAGTTTACAGTTAACATTCTACATCTTTTATAACAAGCTAATATTTCAATAAAAGTAACTGTATCTCATGAATATATCAAAGGTTTGTATAAATTCCAATTTCTCACCATTGACCCTCTTGGCATAAAGGATACTGATATAACTGGATAATGCAACTCTCGACAGGTCATATTGTACGTTTTCTTATTTAATGTGAGCCGAATGTTTTAATTACGAAACTATCATCTAATTTAATTTAAATGACTTTAAAGGAATACACTTGTAAATCTTTTGTGTTGTTTTGTAATTAATAATCAACAGTACTTTGTATACAGAGTATACATTTTCTACATGTTGGTGTAATATGTTTTATATGGAGAGTAATGTGTTTTGTAGAGTTCCATTTTGTTTCTGTAGACAGCTGCACATGAACTAAAAGGTGTTTATGGACATACTAAAGCATTAGAAAACAATGCTAATTTACCTTGTTTTACTGGTTATGGGAAAGTAGACTTAGTTCACTAATAAGGTCATAAGAAGCTTTTCTGTGGCCACTGTACGTTATTAGCAGTGTTTAACGATTGCTTGATATAACATATATTTTTAAAATATATCACCATTCTGTCCGGTTGTAATTTTATTGCTAATTTAGGTACAGTGTAATGGCCGGAACACCACAGAAAATGCTTGAACACTTGCTTGAAACAAGAATAGACGTTAGAGTTGAAGATGGCACAGGCAAGTATATATTTATCTTTTTTCTTACATATTTAGACAGTAAGAATTTTCTACGCGTATTTGAAATGTAAAAAGTAAGAAATATGTCTATATATTGAGCGTTACATAACAAATTGGTCTTGAGTTGACATATAAAAGATTGTCGCACGTTTCAGTTATATAAGACAAACTGTTAAACATATATTATCTAGAAACAAGAAAATAAATTTTCTATAAAATAAAAACGTAAACTAGGCAGTATTCATATTTATTTCATTTTGTTAAGGCAACTGTTATAAAATGATGATACTATGGTTAATTAAACTTATTGGATTTCTTTTTTCCCTTTCTTCAAGGTCCGCTAACGTACTCAAAAGACACATTTCTGGAAGACTTCATTTTAACACACGTGATATTCATGCCCAGCCACCAGCTGTGTCCGGAACTAATGAAACAATATCCTTTGATTAGATAATAGTAATCATGAGAAGATATCGGTAATGATCAACAAGGTAACAATATATATGATGCTTTAGAAAAAGTGGTTGTTGCCAGTGGTTAGTAAAAACTCCACTTTTAAGGAACATTTTAGGAAAAGCAGAATAGCAAAATAAAACATTTTTCCATAAAAAGTAAACTATGAAATGAGCACTTCCTAATTATGTAGGTGTTAAAAAGAATTTTATCACTATGTTTCTCTATGTCACACATGTCGAAGTTTTTCATAGAAAGTGATGTGCAACGTCCATTTCATGTAACATCTGTGTTTATACAGCGTATGTTGCTGTAATTGTTAGTCACATTGTATACGTAAACATTATGCTTCATTAAGTAATGAATTAGGTCGTCAAAAATTAATGTCGCGTTTTGCAACCCTTTATTACCCCCTCCCCCAAAAAAAACGTACATCACGTATAATAGTTAAACGAACCGCCTAAACGTCACGTTAGTGTAGCCTATAGAATGTGTAAAGTTTAGTATAATCTAATATTTTATAGTAATGGCACACGACGAGACACACATTCGGCATGTAATGGTGTTTTAATACAAGAAGGGAAACAACGCTTCTGTAACCACAAAGAATATCAAAGAAGTTTATGGAAATGTTTTGAACGTTCCTAAGTGTCAACGATGGTTCAGCAAATTTCGTTCAGGCGACTTTAGCCTTAAAAACTGTGATGGAAGGAGCCGACATGTTGGAATTGATATTGATGCTCTGATGACGCTTGTTGAGTCTAACCCAAAACAACACACTCGTGAAATGGCCCTGAAATTGCATGTGTCTCTCATGAAACAATATGTAAACATCTAAGAAATATGGGAAACTCTATAAAGAAGGTGTTTGAGTGCCTCACGAGCTCTCCGATGATCATCGTTTCCAACGTGTGAACGTTGCTTCGTCTCTTCTGGCGAGTAATGCGCGTGAACTAGTTTTGGACAGAATTGTCAACGGTGATGAAAAATGGATTCTCTGTACGAATATTAAATGTCAAAAACAATGGCTCAGTCCTAGACAAAAACTATTTCCGACCCCAAAACCTGGACTCCATCCGCAGAAAGTGATGCTTTGCATTTGGTGGGACATCAAAAGAATAATTCATTTCGAACTCCTCAGTTCACAGCGAACTGTCAATACAGAGATCTATAGTCAGCAACTGGAACGTTTAAATCAATCGGAAAGGTGTTCTTCTTCTCCACGACAATGCACGTCCACACGTGACACGTTTGTGCAACACAATATTATGGAGTTGGGTTGGGAAGTGCTCCCCCACCCACCATATTCTCGAGATATGGCATTTAAACCCAAGTGATTTCTTTAACCAGGGCATTAACAACCTGATTGGCAGGTGGAAAAGCATCATCGATAAGAATGGAGAATATTTCATTTAATAAATGTTTTGTTTTTATGTATAAGTTGTTCGGGTTTTTTCAGCTAAAAAAAGGGACATTGATTTCTTGACGACCTAATATGATGAATTTGTTAATAGACAACTTCTTACCCCTGTAAGGAACCATATTCTAAGTTTATTGTAAAAATTACAAAAAAAAATAGGAAAGATTCCTATAAATAAGTGAATTTATAAACAGGAGTGCTGAAAAATTATTATAGAAAAATCGTGCTCATACACTTGTAAGTAGCTTAGAATTAAATATGTTTTATACTATTTAGGCAGCACGATACCTATAATGTCTTTATATAACTAGTTTCAAGCAAAGGTATAATCTTTCATATTATTATTAATGTTTTTACTGTTATAAAGAAAAAAAATTATACTGGAGTCTTTATGAACTGGTACGGTCAAACAAGGAAAATGTCTTTATTCTTACAATATATTTAAGTTATATACTATAACTAGTAATCCTTGTTGTTTATCTACGAAAAATTATTTACGTAACCCTATCTCTATGGGTCTTCCTATGGTCACGGGTCAACGGCCATGTCATCGCGTTTGTAGATTCGCATTCAAAATTGTATTGAACTACTATTTTATGGATGTATATCAATAAGTTTGGTATCAAATTGTAGATTATAATTTAAAGTTTAATATGATCTATTAGTTAATTTAAAAGTAAATATTAAAATAGAAATACTAAATATCGATTTGTGAGTGTCACGTGGTATGTTAAATCCAGCATTGGTTCAAATTAGATGTTTGTGATGTCAAAATACAAAGTCTATGGTTTCTTACGAATTAGGAACTCAAATTATCGATATTGACAAGTTAGAATATCAAATAAGAACCTCCTATATTTTCTATTTGCTGAGATATCGCGACATGTACTGAACAGACAAGCACTGAGACCCCGCTTCTTACACATGCTTCCTACACTTACATCTGTCTAAGCGTGTGAATAACCAATCGAAAGCTCAGAATGTTCCCCTAGTGGCTCTCTCAGCTTAATTGAAGTATTCAACGCCAAACTCGTTATTTTAAAGCTTGGATTCGAAACGATAAGGTGAAACTTTAGTGAGCTCGGAATTTAATATTTTTTAGACCCAAATACAGCTTAGTTACTAAGTTTGATAGATTATAGTGGAATTCTATGGTATTGATATAGTTATTTATTATTTTTGGTTATTTCAAAATGTATATATATAAAACTTTTTAAAAAAATATTTCGTTTCACATCCTCCACGTGCAAAATTTTATAAGACTTAGCAACCTACAGCAAGCAGCAAACGAGTTTAAAATTCGTAACTAGAGGATGTAATTATTTTCTATAGTTCTTTATTTACTGTTCTATGTTTTAAGAAACATAACTGAGGTTCAAGAACTTATTTTAAATAGTAATAATGTATATACATACATAATTGGTTAAAACTGAAATATGACTGTATTTTACAAAATACTAGTCCACTAAAACACAGCCAAGACAAGTCATTTTGTAAAGGCCAGCTTTATAGTCTTGGATACGGTAACATCAGTAAACATGCGCCGCGTCATTGCAACTTCAATATTGTTAGCCAGGCACGGCTAAAAGGTCAATACAATAAAACTACTAAATATATTTAAGTGTATAACGTTATGAGATTTAAGCTATTTAGACTAAACACTTGTGTTTTCGTGTTATAAGCTGTAGTCATTCTAAAACGAAAAAACATAACTTGTATTTATTTCTTAATTTTTCATTGAGGTTACGAAGTCGGTCAAATCGAACCAACCCCTACAGAGATACAGTAGCGAAAATAACAGATAAAATATATAGTTTTTTCTAAAAGAATTGATAATTATCTGGAGGTTATAAGAATTTTGCATGTGAAATTTGAAAATGTTCTAATGCACGAAAATATTTTTAGTCTTAAAATTAAAATTACTTTGCATGTTGGATAGTCAACATTATGAAAGAAAAAATGTTGCGAGAAAATTTTTAATTAAAACATCTTATTACTTAATTTAAAAACCTGATATTTTGTGTAGAAAAGCCTGCAAAATTTTGTAAAATATACATACATTATCAAAAATTATGGAATAATTATTCTCATGGATAGGGGCTGGATGGATTTAATGGAGCTTTAATATACAAAACATTTTGTTGTAATTTAGTAGGTTTACTTTTTTCCGGCAAGTTTTATCAAGAATGTAAGGAAGGGTTGGTTATGTTAGAGCAAAGCCATATTCGACTATCTGCTATATCCACCGCGTGGAATCGAACGCTGGATCTTAACATTATAAGCCCTCAGACTTACCACTGTCTCCCCGAGGAACATATAAGAAACACAACAATGTTTAATACGCTGGATAGTTGAATTTTAAATAACAAAATGATTTAGATGCTCCATAACTTACACGGTTATACGTAACGCTGTGTTAGAGTAGACCTTCATAACAATGCAACAGCACAAATACACTGAAATCTACAAGTTCAAGAAGTAAAATATACCTTTTTAGTAAAAGCATTCATTACTAAAAGATTGGAATTTAATCAATGAATACAAATCACTCTCAAAACGATTCCTGGTTAAGGGGAATCCACTTGTATGAATAAGCTAAAATAACGAAAAGTATTGTTTTCGAATGAGACGAAACAGAAGCACACGAAAATTTAAAAGGCGAACAAAAAATGCGTATTATATTAAAATGTTGAAAGTAGTTTTAATATGAGTTTCTATGCATGTAAAATGTTGGTTTAACAATCTAAAAAATGGAATACAAATACAAATATTTATTCTAATATTATTAGTAAGAGAGTTGCCGATTCTGGTTGCGTGAGTTGTATGTGGAGTTTATCCCTTTCAAAAATTTGTTTATTATTATTTAATAACTTATAATTACAGTTTTGTATTTTATAAGCCTTTTTGTTTCATATTTTATATAATTTCGTGTTATCTGACATTCATTTCCACCATTTTTAAGATTTCAGATGTTTGATTGCAATTTATGTTACCATGGCATCTACGTTCCTCATTTAGAAACTAGATATTTCATGGCCTTCTTAAGTATATATGTAATACGTTATTTTAGCATCTTTCATTTTTATATAAATACCATATATATACGTGTGTTTGCGCTTTTTAGCCCAATGTGCCAGCTTGCCTTTCTTATCATTTGATTATATTTTTTAACACATAATTCGCATGCTACCGTCTTACCTTTTTTGTTTGCTTGCAATTTAGCACAAAGCCACACAATGGGTTATCTGTGCTCTGCCAACCACGGGTATCGAAACCCTGTTTCTAGCGTTGTAAGTCCGCAGACATACCGCTGTGCCACTGGGGGCCTGTTTTTTCTTCCAGCTTACTCTTTTTTGGAAATATCAACAATAGGTTGCACATTTCAGCACATACAGGTTTGTGAAAACAGTTTGAACATTTCAAAATGTAATAAGAGTTTACACGAAGGAAAAAGATAGAAATATGCCGTAAAGGATGTTAGTCTACGCACCTCCAGATTTTGTACCTCCTCATGCACTTCTTCAATCGTCTTCGCCATCTGTCAAATACATGATAATCACAA